TTTGGGTTTCAGTAATTGGTCTCGGTTACATTGCCCTTGATCAAGCCCCACCAGACATGCTATGCCCTCCTCCCCATCGATTTTAGATCACTTGTTGTTCCCTTGCCCCTGGGTTGGTTGTCACCCCTCGTCCTTTCCCCTACCTCTCCCATGTACCCCCTAGAACCATCCATCCTGTTTTCTACTCCGGATTGTGTATCCCGCCTAGCTTATGTAGAGACAATAATAAGCGAAACAAGAAGACAGGAGCAAGGCAAAACCAAAATAACAATAACAACAAAAACCCAACAGCAAAAAAGGAAAAGTCTGTAAATAGTTCCAGGTCTGTTGACCTTTAGGTGTGTTTTCTGGTTGAGTCTGATGGGGTGCCACACTCTGGCCCCAAAGTCTACTGGGGACTTCATTGCTTTTCTGCCCCTGCTGCTCTGTTGCACGCCCTTGTTTTAACCTAGTGTGATGGGGTCAGATTGGGCACAATTCCTGCACTGTGTCTCCATTGTTGTCCCCTGTAATGCTATGGGTCAGTGAAGGATGTCATATCTCTTGGTGCCTCCGGCTCTGTGGTCCATTCTATGCATTGGGTGCTCTGAGCAGGAATATTGTCCTCGGGGCTTGGTGGGCCAGGATGTGTTGTACTCTCCTTTTATCTTCGTTTGCTCCTGTGTGCTCTGATCAGAAGTGCTCTTCTCCCTAACCTGTAGCTTCAGTGCTGTCTTGTGACATGCATTCTTCTGAGGGGCAGAGGGGAAGTTGTCCACATAGTTGAGAGACGTAATTTTTTTTTTTTTTAGCAAAATAAAAGAAGGAATTTAATAGGTAGAAAAATCACCCAGTTGAGTACAAAACCAATTGTGTAGTTACGAAATTTTAGCATTAAAAGTAGGAGGGGGAATAATTAGTGAGGAAGAGTAACCTACATGTATGTATAAGAAAAAATTAACTGCAACCTTCCTTAAAAATGTTCATATCAATTCAAACACAGGTGTATGTTTAAATGCATCTACATACATGATTATTTTTTCTCTGCATGTAGTCACTTTTTTTTTCCTATGGTGGCACTCTGGGATATGCATTCAGCTGCTGAGCACAAGATGAGCAGTTCAAACCTACCAGGTGCTCCAAGGGGAAAAAATCAGGCTGTCTGTTCCTTAAATGGTTTACAGTCTCAGAAACCTTATATAGGCTCACAGTGAGTCAGAATCAACTCAGTGATGGATTTGCGTTTGAAGAAATTAAGCACAAATGAGGAAAAACAAAAAGATGAAGTTAGAGAAACATGTTAAAAAATCGTCCTTGTCTTTCCCTGAACTTTTTCTTACTTTTTGTGCTACCTTCCTTTATCTTACACTCCTCTTCCCACTTCTCTTCCGTAGGCTTCTCCCTTCTGGTCAGTTTTTAAATCATTTATTACGTCAGAAAGTACATTAGGTTAAGTCAGGATGGGCATCATTGAAATGGAACATGTGGAACCTGAAATCTTGAAGTTTATCTTTCTTAATTGGGAAGATAGATAATAATTATCTATCACCTGAGTCAGACACCTACTACTCACTGCTCAGTTATCTCTTGAGCCAACATTTTGAATTATAATAATAGTAAAAACTATCCAATGATTATTTTACACGTTACCATTAACACAGGACATCTTACACTAATGAAGGTTGAAATATGAGATGAGCGTAACACCTGAATATGATTGTTAAGGTCATGTTGGCTGAACCATGTATCTCAGTGGTTTGGCAGTTATATGTGGTGTAATCATTTTCCATTTTATGTTGTGATGTACTCTATTTTGGTATAATTCTTGCATAATGACCTGGAACCTAATCACGTTGGTTAAGTGAAGAATGGGTATATATAAAGAACACTGCTCTATGAAGGACGGTGAAATAAAGACTTGTAAGCTGAGACTCAAAGGTGTCAAATATTTATTGAGCTCCTCCTATGTGCCAGGCACTGTTTACCAGGTACTTGAAACGCATAATTAAAGTGGATGCAACCCATGCCTGAAGTGATCTTACAGTGGCAGCATACAAATGGTAAACATGTCACAAAATAACTTCAGATACTAATGATACTTTTGAGAAATCCTACGAAGAAAATAAAAATGGACACCTGGTAGTTTTTGGACACCATCCTGGATGCTTCCGGAGATGTTTGAATGTTTAGAAAGAAGGTAGCCTTGAGAGATCTGGGGATAGAATAGTCTAAGAACATCTGGTGAAAAGCCTGAGAAACGAATACCTTTAATGTTAAATAGAAGGGGAAAGTTCCTTGGAACAAAACATACTAGTAGTGAGTTTGAGAGGAAGACCAGGTAGGAGAGGTAGGCCGGACCCATACTGTGCAAGTGTTCACAGGCTATAAGGTCATGGTAAAAAGTTTAGATTTGATTTTCTTAAGCTGTTGGAGAAAGCTATGAATTGATTTATGCCCTGAGTGGTTTGAAATGGTGGTTTATAGATGGTGGATAACAGCAGAGACAATTTGGCAAATCGAGTGAAATGTAGTGTTGTGTTATTCTTGGACTTGATGAGGGAACATAGTGATAATTAATGGAAGTTGGTATATATTTTAGATGTAAAGCTGACTTAATGTATATATAATTCCTAGGGTTATTTTTTCTGGAGCAATTGGAGTAGATACTTGTGCTATTTACTTATAAAGCAAAGATAAGGAGAGGATCAGATTGGGTGAATGGAGTAGCTTTGATTTGGCCATGCTGTTTTAGACGTGTAAGAAGTTAGAGATATGGCTGGAGCTCAGAGTAGCAATTGGGATTATGGTGTCAATTCTCTGGGGTTTCCTGACATTCCCAGACAGAGTAATGTCTTTGTGTTTTTCTGTGTTCTGGCCATGTCTCTTAGGTACTTTCTTCATACCCATTATATGAGGATAACTCAAAAAGTATTGGTTACTAAGGTTCCGGTTCATACATACACAGATTTATTCTAAGCAAAACATGTTTAAATTAAGCATGTCAGTGTGTGACTGCAGATAAATTCTTACAATAATACTTTGTTTTAGTTTTGTTAGGGTTCCTTCAAAAACAAACTGAAAAAAGCGTTGCTCAAAGACCAGCTCAAAGAACGAATCTTTCCATTAATCTTTTAAGCAAGAGCCAAACTAATGAAGACAATTTTATGGAATAAATTGTAACCAGAGATGAGTCTTGGATGTACCATTACCATCTCAAGATCAAGGTCTCATTCAAACAGTGACTTATGTGGACATATGCCAGGCCAAGGGCCAGTTAAATTAATAGCTGAGAGGTCAGCTCAGAAGGTACTGGTGATTGTATTTTGAGATATCAAAGGGATAATCTTGATAGATTTTCCCAGAGCACATAGGACAATCATATGAGCTTATTAGGAAGAAGTTTTGATAAAACTGAAAACTGCATTGGTGAGAAAAAAGACCAGGAAAGTTGAGGCTAAGAATTTGTTCCTGTCATGACAGTGTACCTGCTCCTCCATCAAGACTGACAAGGGCTATCCTACAAGAATTTCACTGGGAAACCTTAGCCCATTCACCCTACAGCCTTCATCTTGCCCACTCGGCCTTATTTCTTTTTTGCTCCCCAAACTAAAAAAAATGTTTTAAAGGAACACAGTTTGAGTCCCTCAGTGATGGCCAAACTGCCTTTTTGAGGTGATGTGAGTTAAAGACTGCAGACTTTTTCTGCGGATCGTTAGAGAAGTGGAAACCAGTGCCTTCAGAAGTATAGACCTAGATGGAGGGAGGAGGGGATATGCTGAGAAACTCTAGCTTTGCATTTTGATTATACTGTTTTAGAAAAATTTCTACAAGTTTGTCACAATCCTGTTTGACCTACTCTCTTGGTTTTCTTATTGTTTATGTGTTGGTCTTTTCCCTGGTCTGGGATCCTATTTTGTTTTTCTCAGTTTTCTCGTCTTTTGGTCATAATAGATACATAATGAATGATGATTAAGTTATTTTCTTTGTTATTAGATCTTGTCAATTTTACCTGCCAATTATTTGTCACCTCCATTTCTATCTTTCTGCTTTCAGGACCAATGCATTTTAAACATTTTTGTTTGTGTGTTTTTAAACAGTATAACTTATTAGCAAATAAAATTTCATGGTAGAACCTTAAATATCTGAGGTAAAAGCTTGGGTTGTATCCAGTGCTGTTAGTAAGATGTCAGGCAGTGATGTTCTAAGTATGTCAGGATTTTTGGAAGGGAGGTAGATGGCTTTTGACATTGAATCAGTAGTTCACACTTATTAGTGTCAAGATGTCTGAGGTGCAGTTGACCTTTGCTTCCCTGAAGGAGAGCAATTGGGTGCCATGGAATTTAAATATGCCATAAATTGCATTGTGATGTGTAGGGCAACTTGAACTCAAACAAAAACACAAACTTATTGTATGAGTCAGTCTGGCTCATGGTTATCAAAACCACTTGAATTTAGCTTGTTCAAATTTAATCAATGAATGCCTTAAGATAGGGTGGTGAATAGAAAAGCAAAAGCACAAAGAGCTTTCACCAGTCTAAAGAAGTATGACTGAACAACCATGAGATGGAGCAGAAGGGATGGCCAGATCTAGGGGAAATATTGCAGTCAGTTGGTCACCAGATTAAAAAAGCGGGAAAGAGCAGGGAGACAGGTATAAGGTGTCTGATTTTAAGCTGCTCGGTCTGCTGAACTGGCAGGATAATAGGGGAAATGATCCAGAAGTGCAGGAGTCGGAACAGCTAAAATGGCATGGTCATTGTCTTCGAAAAGGGTAGTCAAGACAAGGCAGAAGACTTCATCTTCAAGGCCTTTCTTGAACTCCGAAGTTCTCTACTTACCTCTGGTGATCTGTAGGGTATTTATAAAAGTTCTAAAGACTTAAGGAGTTCAGAAAAACAAAACAAAAGACTTAGAGTTGATTGAACTTCTAAGTGGCATTAAGGTGAAGGTAAACTTTTTAATAAACATCTTAAGTATATTAGTTTGTTCTATTAAACAAGCTAATAACCCTTTTTTTAAAGGTACAGCAGGGAAGAACTGGAAATTCTGAGAAAGAACCAGCACTACCATCTTCAAAAGCTGAGTTTACTTCTCCTCCTTCTTTGTTCAAGACTGGACTCCCACCCAGCAGGTGAGTGGCTCATTGTAAATGATGTACTGAGTAGTGCTGTATAAAGGAGAAATGGTCTGAGTGATCTCCCAAAAAGCTGAGACATTCTCCTTTGTGTAGTCAAAAAGCTAATTTTTTGTGGAAACCAATTCTGGTTGCTATTCCAGCATTTTATGTATATATATATATACACATATATAAACAAAATCTAGTTAAACAAGAACTGGAGATGGTGTACAGTTCATGTGTGCCTAAAGAAACACCCCTGTATTCAGGAGTGTACTTGCTGTTTTTGGTGCTTCTATTATGCTTACTTAGAAAATGTCTCAATCTGTATCGTTGGTGTCAGACTTTTGTTAGCGATTTCAGTAAAAGGAGGCTGTAGAAAATTCAGCCCAGAAAATCTCCTTTATTGGAACCATTTTCTTTTCCTTCTTTGATTTGATGTGATAAAACTTAACTTTGTTTTCTAAAAAAGGCATTGTCAGAGGCAAACGTGCTGGCAAAAATGTTGACCCCAATACCAGGATAAATGGCAAAGGATATCCTAATACTAGGGAAGTTTGATGTTAGCAGGTTAATCTTAGGTTAAGGACGATGTAAGCCAGGTAGTTCTCTCACCTTTATAAAGTAAATAGCAGTTATTGTTAGGTTTCATACTACTTTTTGAAATTTATGTTACGTTGTATACTGTTTTTGCTATTATACATACAGTTTTAAATTTACCGGTATAAGATACAACACATGGTATACTAATGCAGGAACAGACCTTATGGGAGCATGTAGTTTAGCTCCAAGGTACAATGCTTTTTGATGCTTTCAGTCAAAACAAAGTGCCTTAGAGCCATCTGAGAATTTTACCCTGTTTAATCACTACTCATGCATATTTCCAAATGTGATTATTTAAACTAAACCCAATAATAGTGGAGGGATATTGATCTTTCAGTATATAGTATTCTGTTGGTTTTATATTTTTAAAAAGAAAGCAACTTTTCACTCGTTGAGTTAGTGGTGCCTAGTGATTTTGAGTGACGGTAAAGAACTTGGACTCGGGGTTTCAAATTTGGCTTTATCACTTAACTAGCTGTGTCCATGAGCAGGTTTCTCAGTCTTGCTTCCATTTCCTAATCGATAAAAAAATAGTAGTAGTACATTACAAATAAGTTCGGACAATAATATTAAATGGACTGATTTATGGAGTGTGTTTTAGAACAATGCCTAGTACATTATAAATACCTTATAAATGCTTGGAATTACCGTTATTAAGTTTTAAAAATGAACATCCATTTTTCAGTTTTTCTGTATTTTGCCTTCCAACCCCCTCCCACTTGAGCCAGATAATATAGAACCTTTGCCATTATATGCATGGAATTTATACTTATGGGTGAATACAAGCTTATAGGAAACTAATGCATAAGGGCCAGGTACATGGTTTGTCAAAACAAAAATACCCAAATGTGTGTGTTTCCTGCTTAAGACTTTGGTAAGCAAAGCAGAAGGTGAGATGCTGTCAAGATTCTGAGCAGAGTAATGATAAAATCTAAATTAGGGTTGTAAATTTCCAACATAACTGCTTTATTAGAACAGATTATAAAGGATTAAGAAGGAAATAGGGAAGTCAGTTAAGATGGTGTAGCAGTTATAGGCAAGATATTTGGTGACTTGGCCAAAGTGGTAGTGGGGGGAAATGATGAGAAAGGGTCAAATTCTGGCTGTATTTCAAAGGATGCACCCAAAGAGGATGCCCTTTGTAGAAAAAGAGAAGTCAAGGATGAATCCAACTTCTTTGTTTTGGAACAGCTCAGTCAGAAAGGTGGATTTGTCATTTCCATAAGTCAGAGGTGGCAAGAGAGTGGTTTTTAGAGAAGAACAACTTCCAATTTAGGACACAGTAAATTCAGACGCTTATATATACACACATGAAAAACTTGAATAGGCAGTTGGATATGTGAATCTGGAGAAAATGGGAGAACCATGGGATAGAGATATAATTTGGGGATGTTCAATGCTTAAGTAGTATTTGAGAATCAGTTAGATTGCAAACAAGTATAAATATTGACTAAGAAGTACTAAGAAGACAGGGCCTGCTGGCGCTTAATTTTTGTAGGTCAGAAAGGCAAGGACGACCCAGTAGTGACAGACTAGTAAGAAAGAAGCACTAACAGTGGAAAGAAAAACCAGTGCACGGTTTGGGGAAGATGCCCTTTCAAAGAATAAGCATTTCAACTTTCACTTACTGAATGGCCAAGTAAAATGGTCACAATTTTGACTTGCTTGTAAAATGTGGAGGTCATTGGTGATCCTGGCTCGGATTTCTTTCAGTGGTAATAGTGAAGAGCATGGGCAGTAACTGGACGGAAAATAGGCTTTGGAGTCAAGAGAAGATTTTTTTTCAACCTGAGAAATTACAGTATATTTGAGTACTGAGGAAACCAGCTGTTCCAGGGAAAATGGCTGCTGGCATGATAAGGGATTGTTAATAGAGCATTGTCATTAAGCAGACCAGAGGGGATAGGGTATCAGGTACAAGTGGAGGTGGTAGTCCAATTTTGGAGCATGGACAGAGCACCATGCTAGTAGGAGAAGCACTAGAGCAAGTGTGTGTGTGAATAATTGGATGGGACCACCTGAGAGTTGTTTTCTGATTGCCTTGTTTTTCCCAATGACAGAAGAGGCAAACTTAACTGGTGAAATTAAGGATAGTAGGAGATGTTAGAGGTTTGAGAAGAGAGTAGAAGGTCTGAAATAATTTGGGGGTTGTGAAACTCAAAAAAAAATAGAAATTGTTGAGGGTGTGGGAGGGAATTGTTGGATCAAGAGAGGACTGTTTTCAATACAGGCGAAACTATAGCATATATTAGTAGGAATGAGAAAATGGAACGAATACCGTATATACTCGAGTATAAGCTGACCTGAATATCAGCCGAGGCACCTAATTTTACCACAAAAACTGCATTAAAAATGTGCAGGAAAACTCGGCTTATACACGAGTATATATGGTAATTGGTAATGCAGGGAGACTTCACGTCCTATTGTTTTTGAGGTTGATAGTAATGGGTGTAGAGACAAAGTCAGCTTGCCTTCCTGTATTTCTCTCGCCATTGTCAGGTATACTTGCATGGAAAGTAGTTAGGGTTAGATTGAACTGGTTATGGTTATACCAGGCTAATAGGAAGAAAGGATAGAAAAATGCATGGAGGGATGGTTATAATCATAGATTGTGAATCTAAGGAGAAATGAGAGCACAGAGAAGCGGAAAGAGACAGTTAAAAAAAGGGGAGGAAAAGAAATGATAGAAAAATTAGCACCATCACTACTTCTAAAGAACAGTGGATAATTGACATAACACCAGCGAGTCAGTACTCCCCTTGTGGCTATAAAGACCAGTACCTTTTGCGTAGTAGGACAGTTTTGTTTGGTTTTGTTGACTACATCCTCAATTGATCAAATGAATACTGTTCAGTCACTATGAAGGAAATTTCCCTAATTTAATTTACATATTTTTTCCTAATACAAACACTATGATATTTTCCTATTTATCTTTGAAAATAAAATTTTATTGGTTTTAAGACAATGTCTTAATAGAGGCTGCACGGCAAATTTTTTAAAGTAATGAACTGCAGCCTGACTGTATTTTTATGGTTTAGAATCTTTGATTGTCTTGATTTAGAAATGGCTACTGGTAGTGTGTGTACAGTGAACCCTCGTTTATCGCGGTTAATCGGTTCTAGACCCTACTGTGATAAATGAAATTCCGCGAAGTAGGATTCCTTATTTGTAAATCAAATATTTTCGTAGTTAGAGCATAGAGGACATTAAAAAACACCCTTTAGTCACCATTACACTCGTATTACCCAATTTATTAAACGAAAAAGGGAAAATACAGTAAAACATTTTGGACGTTACAATTATCATTTATTATTTATTATATTCTTTATGGCATCAAGCGTGTACAGTATGAGCCAATCAGTGGCAGTAATGACAGAGCATGCGCTTACGCAAAAACCGCGATAGAGTGAAGCCGCGGAAGTCAAAGCGCGAAGTGGCGAGGGTTCACTGTATACGATTTTTTGTTAGTGGTTCTTAATGCCTTTTCAGTACAAATCCTGAATTTCTAACTCTTGGCACTGCCCAGGAAATTGGCATGCTTAAGTCAAGTGTTAGATTTACTGTTTGTACATATTACACTGTTTTGCTTGCTTGTTACCAGTGTTCATCATTTACCATATTTTTGAACTACATACATACACAAAAATGACCTGAATATGTGGCCGTTTAATTTTCACGAATGAGCACTTTCTTGTAACCAAACATTTCCACTACTGTTCAAGAGCCCCTGTGTCCCTGTCATTCATTGTTTTAATCTATTTCATGCTTTGGGGGAAAATTCAGACGTACAGATTTATAAGAACAGCACAAAGACCTTCTAAATGCTGTTTACGCAGATTCACCAGTTACTCATATTTTGCCATGTTTACTGTACAGATATAAATTATAAATTATATAAATTATAGATATGCTCCTTGTCCTAAATGCATCATCTTCTTTTATATACTCATGACAACTAAAAATTCAGGGGGGAAAACCTAGTAATAAATATTTTTACGTAAAATGACAGGCCATATACATATTTGTCAGTTATCCAACAATAGCTTCTCTGGTAGTTTTTCCCTCCTCATCCAACCCACCGTCATGCATCACATTGAACCGTTCCATCTCTGATCAGTGAGCAGTGCCAGAAAGTCACCTCTTTAAAAACACTCATGGTGTTTAAGAGGGGAACTGTGTTAATAGGTTTTTTTGTTTCTAGTATTTTATTGGATTTTGAAGAAAATTTATAGCATATTTGGCCCTCATGAACAGTTTTTATACATGTTATTTAATAACATTGATTATATTTTTCACAGCCTTTCAGCATTCTTTCCATTTTATGGGTTCTCTTTCTGTTAATCTAGCTTCCTTGCCCTGCTCTTACCATCTCATCCCCGATCTAGGGTAAATGTTGGCTAGTAGTTCTCATATAGGTAGGTGATTGTTTAGAGGAGCACAGTACTCGTAGGCGATACTTTTTATTTTAGAGCCACTCTGTCACGTGGTTGACAGGTAACCTCGGGGAGTAGTTTGAGTTCTAAGTTCAGTTGCTATCTAAAGGTCTTCCGGGTTTCTCTGTCTACCTGCCCAGTAAGTCTGGTGTTTTTAAAAAGTTGAGTTTTTGCTGTACATTTTTTCGCCATTCAATTCTGCCTGATATATTGTGTGTCTGACTGGTACGGTCGGTAGCGGCATGACTCCCTATGTTTATTTAGTCTGCTTTAACCAAAAACAGCTTCTCAGCCTTTCTTTATATTTCTTGTCATTGACTGCTTTTGAGACTAGAGTTCAGTTGGTCCCATATTCTGGATTTGTATCACACAGTGTCTGTGGGGTGGGTTTGCCCTGTTATTAGAAATAATAACCTTGGGTAGCACCTATCAAAGTTACTATTTTCCAACCCACTTCATAGTTAGTGTTTTCTTACTTTGCTAAGTAAATGGCCAGGACATTGTGTAAATATCGATTCCTCTTCAAATTTTCCCAGAATTTAGCATCCATTGATGATTTTTGCTGGAATAAATTATGGCTGAAAAAAATTATTACTATGTATATTATTCCTTCTATGTTTATTAGTTGGTATTTGCCTTTAAAAAAGAACTTTCCCAGTTCCCCAGTTTATTAATTTCTTACCATTTTAGACTGATTATTTGTGTGTGTGTGTGTGGCTTATACATATGGTTTATCTATGTATACCTTCATTTTTATGGTAAAATCCCAAATTTGACCAGTGGGAATCCTTTTAGCATGTCTGCATCCATTTTCAGTTAATTTTTTACTATCTAGTAATTGTATTTTTACTTTTTAAGGTGTGTTTTCAAGGCTTATTTTTTCCTTCCCTGCCCCATTCCTGGAGCAGGCATTTCTTGAAGGTGCCTTCATTTGTTTTAGGTAGAATATGGTAATTACAAACCAGGATCTAGGTGCTGCCTATTCTCATTGCTGTTGGTAGGTGCCACTGAGCCATTTCCAACTCACAGTGACTCTGTTTACTATAGAAGGAAACACTGCCCGGCCTTTGCCAACCACACAGTGGTTGCTGCATTTGAGCACATTGTTCACCCATCCATGTGTCTGTCTTATGATGGCGCTTCCTCTTTTTCAGCGACCACCTATTTAGCAAGCATAATACCCATCTTCAGGGACCAGTCCTTCTCTCCAAGTATATAAGAATGCTTATCATCTGTGCTCCTAAGTCATATACGCTTTGTTATTCTGTCTCCAAGCCCACTGCCATTAAGTTGATTTTGACTCACAGAAATCCTGTAGCGACCCTAGTTGTATTCAGCATTTGCCAACACAGAGCCATCGATTCTTCTTCCATCTTCCTAACTCATTGTCCAGTTTGTGTGGGCATATAAGGCAATTGGAAATATCATATCAGGAACACTATAGCCCATCATCCAGGACATCTGGCTTTCAAAGTTTTCCCTCTCTCATTCCAGCCGGAAACTTTGGGAAACACTGGTACTGATTGAATAAGTGTGCAGAAATGTTCTAATAACCCTGATAGCCATTTTTCCTGATTTTAAACCTTAGAGCAGGCGTCCTCAAACTACGCCCGCCAGGTGTTTTTCCCCGTTTGTTTTTTTATTTCAAAATAAGATATGTGCAGTGTGCATAGGAAATTGTTCATAGTTTTTTTTTTAAAACTGTAGTCCGGCCCTCCAACGGGCCTAAGGGACAGTGAAGTGGCCCCCTGTTTAAAAAGTTTGAGGACCCCTGCCTTAGCGTATTCCTTATTCTGTCACATAGACTTTTGGTCCATGTGCAAGTTCTGCTTGAGTCCGTTCTTTATAATGTTAATCATAATTTGTTCTGATCCAATGTTTTTGAGTAACCAATAATGTACAGGCAAATATCTTTCCTGGTATTCTGTGCTTTTAGCCAAGATCCATCTGTTGCCCTCTTTCTGAATCCGACTTGAATTTCTGGCAGCTCCCTATTGATAAACTGCTGCCATAATTTTGCTTTATATTCAAAATTTTACTTGTCTGTGATATTAATGATAATTTGTTCAATCATTTTCACATTTTGTTCAAGTACTTCTTTCTTTGGAATATGCACAAATCAGATATTTCCAGTTGTTTGGCAGGGTCAGTGTCTTTCAAATTTCTTGGCATAGACAAGTGAGAGCTTATAATAGTCCATCTGCTGAAAGAGTTCAATTGGTATTCTTTCAATTCCTGGAGCCTTGTTTTTTCACCAAAGCTTTCAGGGAAGCTTGGGCTTATTCTCCTAATCCTATTGGACCTTGAGTCTTATGCTTCCTCTTGATATGCTGGAATGGTGACCAATTCTGTTCTGTATATTCTGTAATACTGTATATTCTTTCTATGGATCCTTTTGCTTCATTTTTTTCTGCTCAACTTTGAAATTTTTTTTTTGTCCTTTGAAATCTTATGTTCATTCTTTTTACTTCATTGTTTCTTCCATTTGCTTTAGCTACTCTTCATTCAGGAGCAAGTTTCAAAGTCTCTTCCGACATTCATTTTGGTCTTTTCTTTCTTTATAAGGATCATCTTTTGCTTTCTTCGAGTGCAATGTTCTTTCCTACCATGACTCCTCTTCAGTCATTGGTCTTCAGTGTGTAAGATCTGTTCACCGACACATGGTGGAGTCGTTCATGCCTACTGGAATGAGATTATTTTCAGACCCCTTGTACAGTCAGAGCTAAACGAAACTAGAAACTAGAAGAAAATTAGTATTTTAAAAATTAAATTGGCCTTGTGTATCTATCTAAAATTTGAATCATGAATTCATGATTACTTTCCTTCTGTTCAAAACCACACCTCTCTGTTTCACATTGCATCTTCACTTTTTACTGTGAGGACTCATTTCCCAGTAGCATCAGTATGTATATACTCATTTGCTTCATCATAACATCATAACACACCCACAACATTGATTCAGAACTTGTGCAACAAGCATTACAAGAATCAAACCGATTAAATAGCTGTCTGGGTTTGTTCGCAACTCTTTTTAAAATTTCCATGAGAATTATCTTTTTAACTTATGAAACAAACTTCGACCATGCGAATAGGGAAACTTTTACAATTGATAAACAATTGATAAACAAGAGTTTATAAAATATACAAATTTAAGCTACTTAATATGAAATGCACCTAAAACAGGTATGTAAAATGAGTAAAACTATTGCACTGGATGAAGATATGTCAGACAGCTGTTAAGTTCTTGTCATCTTCCCCTGAGTAAGAGTGATTTATTGCAATTATTTAAAATGTAATTTGAATCATGTTTCTGCTTGTGCATGTCTCCTCCATGTGTGGTGATTTTAATTTATTTCCAAGTAGGTGCCTACTTAAAGCACTTTCAGGTTTATTGAAACACTCTGTACATAGTACAGAGAATTTCTACATATTCCTTTCTTATGTAATTTTATTTTTTTGTATATAAAACATTTAGCATAATTCTAAAGATTAGAGTGTAACTGTTAACTGGTTTCACTGATAATGCATATAGTTGGTCCTGAACACTACAGGGAAGGAAATACTAAACTTTCAAATAATATTTTGTGGAACTGCAGAAATAAGTGTTACTTATGCAAGCGCAGAAATTTATTTATAATGTACCCTGAAATAGACCCTTGGTTCTTTTTTCCTTTCTGCACTTAGATAGGTTACTTTCTATGAAAAAGAACATTTCAAAAATTATTCCAGATAAGAAAATGTTAGGAATATATCAGTACTTAATCACCAGTAGCATTCTTTTATATAGTGTGAAGAGAATACTAAAGGAACATGGTAAAGAATTTTAGAAAAAGTATGTTAAGAAATAAACAGAATTGGGGGAGGGGGAGGGGGAGCTTGTCAGGGACAACAATATGTAATAAAACACAAAAAATTTATCTCACCAGAAACAGCACCTCCTCTCAGTCTCAGACAAGTACTGCCTCCAGAAAAGGCAATTCGAGCGTTGCGAAGTGGCAGGATCGTTATGGGAGGGCGGAATCTCCTGATCTAAGGTAAGGCGATTGGTAATCGTTGAATATTTCCTGATATTTAGGGGTTCTGTATTGTTTTGTCTTAGTTTTGACTAGCCAGTGCCATATTTTTAACAATAAAATGATGCTTTCTCAGCATAGAGTGTAAGAGTGTGAAAGTCACCTCTGAAAACCACTGAATGTTTTGCCTCTCCCCCTCCGTCTTTATTACATGAACTGAAGTGCACAGGCCCTGAGGGCGTGTGCCCCAAAACCGTGTCTTCTTGTAGGTTTGTTTTGCCTTTTGTATATTGCACCCTGTCTGAAAATCCCAGGGAATTCCCTTTGACTCTGGGATGAATGAAATCTGACTTCACTGTATCTTTGTAATTTTCATACATAACGGTTTTAATGCATTTACTTGCTACTCTGTTTTGTTTCTTGCTACGAATTGCCCACCAAACTCCAAACTCACTGCCATCGAGTCAGTACTGACTTAGAGCGACCCCCTTGTGGGTTTACCAGTGTTGCTCCCTCTGAGCTGCTGGTGTTTTCAAACTGCCGGCCATGCAATTCACAACCCACCATGTAACCACTTATTACCCTGCTTTTACTAATTATTTGCCCTGCTTAGAATGTTGATTTGTGTTCTGAATGTTCATTTACAAGCATACACTCTGGATAGGTAGTATAATCTTGTTGAGGCTGTAAGATAGAAATAGTATCTTCTGCTCTTAGGGAAGTAGAGAGAAATAATGGTAGGGTATGAGGGTGCTTTACCAACATCATTCAGAATGAGAGGAGATGCTTTGATTGTCTCACCTGGAACCTGAGACGTTTACCATTTGAGGTTTGAGACATTTACGATATATATAGAATAATTTTGTTTGCTGATTTTGCTTGGTGCTACATTAATGTGTCTACACCAAACTCAAACCCACTGCTGTGGAGTTGATTCTGACCATAGTGACCCTGTAGTAGAATTGGCCATAGGGTTTCTAAGGCTATAAATCTTTTCGCTTTCGGATTTATGCATGGGTTCAAACCACTGTAGAAGATAGGGTTTACCCCAATTCACAGCTATTAAACAAGCCTCTTATAGTACCTGCAGTTTAGACAAGTTGGCTTTTGTAGACAGAGGCTTAGAATAAGTTTCCAAAGTAAATTTTACAGTTGTTTTGTTATGTTTTGATATCCTTTTATAGCTATCTTGACTTAGATTTTATCTTTTTTATTTAAGAAATTATGCCTTGGGGATAATACTTGTAGAATGGCTATAGTTTGTTTAGAGAG